TCACATGCCCCGATGACTGGGCCTTTATACCACAATGTCCCAATGACTGGGCCTTTATACCATAATGCCCCAATGACTGGGCCTTTAGATCATAATGCCACGAAGACTTGGCCTTTATATCATAATGCCCCGATGACTGGGGCTTTTTATCATAATACCACAATGACTGGGACTTTATATCATAATACCCCAATGACTGGGCCTTTATATCATAATACCACAATGACTGGGCCTTTATATCATAATACCACAATGACTGGGCCTTTATATCATAATACCCCAATGACTGGGCCTTTATATCATAATACCCCTAATGACTGGGCCTTTATATCATAATACCCCAATGACTGGGCCTTTATCATAACCCAATGACTGGGCCTTTATACCATAATGCCCCAATGACTGGGCCTTTATACCATAATGCCCCAATGACTGGGCCTTTATACCATAATGCCCCAATGACTTGGCCTTTATATCATAATGCCCCAAAAACTGGGGCTTTTTATCATAATACCACAATGACTGGGACTTTATATCATAATACCCCAATGACTGGGCCTTTATATCATAATACCACAATGACTGGGCCTTTATATCATAATACCACATTGACTGGGCCTTTATATCATAATACCACAATGACTGGGCCTTTATATCATAATACCCCAATGACTGGGCCTTTATATCATAATACCCCAATGACTGGGCCTTTATATCATAATACCCCAATGACTGGGCCTTTATATCATAATACCATAGTGACTGGGCCTTTATACCATAATGCCCCAATGACTGGGCCTTTATACCATAATGCCCCAATGACTGGGCCTTTATACCATAATGCCCCAATGACTTGGCCTTTATATCACAATGCCCCGATGACTGGGGCTTTTTATCATAATGCCACGATGACTAGGCCTTTATATCATAATACCCCAATGACTGGGCCTTTATATCATAATACCCCTGATAACTAGGCCTTTATATCATAATGCTCCGATGAGTGGACCTTTATATCATAATGCTCCGATGACTGGGCCTTTATATCATAATACCCCTGATAACTAGGCCTTTATATCATAATGCTTCGATGAGTGGACCTTTATAGCATAATGCTTTGATGAGTGGACCTTTATAGCATAATGCTCCGATGAGTGGACCTTTATAGCATAATGCTCCGATGACTGGGCCTTTATATCATAATACCCCTGATAACTAGGCCTTTATATCATGCCACGACTAGGCCTTTATATCATAATACCCCTAATGACTAAACCTTTATATCATAATGCCTCGGTGACTGGGTCTACAAGTCATAAACCTGGTCAACGGGCTGTATGCAAAGGACAAAGAAAAACAGACTGTAAAATATTTACTACAGAAACACCAAAGCAATTATTTATTTACACAGCAGAATAATAATCAACAATTGACTAAAATTAACAGCCTTAAAGAAGAATGGAAAATGCATAAAAGGTTTCTAAGCATGACGCCATCAAAATAAATGAATAACTACTTGAGTGCCTCCTTCCCCAAAATGAATATGATCTTCACGCCATGATTTCACTGCTATCAGATCCAGATACATGCATGAGTGGGCACCAGTTTTGTAAAATGTGATATCAAATAATTAAATGCGGGATGAATTTGTAGCATGCTGAAGCAATAAACGTGATTCAAACTAATAGCAGTCTAGCGGTGGTGGTTCTTCTCTATATTTCCTTAGTATGTATAACATTTTACCTCTGTGAATTCAATTAAAACTACAAAGGTAATTTCAGCTCAATACATAGATTGAAATTAAAATAAAAACTTATTTTTCATTATTTCAGTTTTGTCTTGCCCAACACAATAGGAGTCTTACTCAACGTGACCAAATAGCCTCACATTCAACAAGAATCAAGCAGACGATATAAATATAACCTGGTCATCATAAAAATACACAATATGGTAAAAACATCTGACCTTAAATAGTAGAGAAAAATAAGTCGATAAACATGCCAGATAGTCACTGATTGGTTGAAATGAGTAACATAGGTCATTAATATTGAATATTGACCTCAACTTCAGCAATTATCTGTACATTGATGAATATTCTTATAGTCGGTGTTCCTGCAAAGTCTAATAATGGCAGGACTTGAAATCCAGACATCAAAGGCAATTGCAATGACTAAGTTAAGTATCCTTTGAAAAACAGATCTTTTCCTTACACAGCCAAGGCAATTTTATCATATTTTGTCTCAAAATTGAGTGCCCTTTCTAGCCTGAAGTTCAAGCCCTGTAAATGTTTTGTAAATAGATATTTTAACGAGATAAATAACACAAATGGTGTATGCAGTCTACTGCTGTAAACTGAATGTCCAATCACTAGCCGTGTCAACCCTCCCTTTGTGTTAATAACCCTCTTCTATAGAAATAAAAATATCTAGCATTTTAAATAGAAATGCCATAGGTGAAAATTGGTATCAATTGCATTTGATCTTTTTGAAAGGCAAGTTTTTACTATCGCTCAACAATTGCTACCAATATCCACATCCAGAATATTTGCTTTATAACGCGTAGCTGCTGTCAGCGGCACAGAGTGGTTGATGAGTTATGCACGAGACCCGAGATAGTAACCGGTGGCAACTGTAATCGAGGTTATGGTGCTTGTTTTTACTGGTGGTTAGCCTGGAATTCAGTCATGAACTGTGCCATAGAGAACGTCTCTTCCAATGTGATGGCATTGTAGAGAGAAATACGCATACCTCCAACAGATCTGAAAACAAATACAAAGGATTTAGTGACATATTCAAATGACATCACAGAAACAAGTGACCTGGGGGTCAAAATAGCTCTGCTGTCCTACAAAAACTTTGTCGTAGCCAAGTCGAACAAAGCACTGAAAACTGCCAGGCCAATTTGATATGCACTGAGTTGGTAGTTTTCAAGAAGGAGTTGAAAATGCATTGTTGACAGATTATGGACGACAAAAATCAACTTTATGAACAGCTTCACTGTCATCTATGATGATAGCAGAGCAGTTTTCCACAACAAGTCACCCATCTTTATTCTATATTTGCATGAGGATTATAGCAGTCTTTAATGAGATAGCTGCAGTTTTATTCTGATGGAGAGTTAATCAAATCTACTACAGTAATGGTTTATGAGAAATGTTCATTTTTCACGATTTTCCAAGACACCTTTCAAATATGGGCACTTTCCAGTATATTCCATGTCCATACAAATCCTATATGTGTAACTAAGTATTTATAATAAAATGCAGCATACCTATGTCCTTTAATTGAGACCATTTTACGTTTCGTTGATTCGGAAACAAATTTCTTTTCCAGTTCTTCTGTCCCATCGGGTCCACCAACTCTGAACACAATATTCATTCTGCTGCGAGCACTTGGATCCACTGGACAGCTAAAACACAAATAGACACTAGTTACAATCTAGTCAAACACAAGTAAATGCAATTTTATGACTTCTTCACAAGGCCTTGGATCTAAAAATGGATCTCCCGAACACAGTAATAGAAAAGATTAAAAAGAGCTGTGCTGTTGAATCTTTTAAATTGTATGGAATGGAGATAACATTGACTTGGATGAGTGGAGCAATCCCTTGCCTGAGAAAAGTGAAAATAAGGTCTGCTTTGCCTATACCGTAAATTACTTTATTTTAGGTGGAATTAATTTTAGTTTCACTGAATCCAAGCAGGAATGAAGTATTTTACAGTACCGTTAAAATCCTATTATAAACCGCATACCTAATAGTAACCGCACCCTCGATTTCGGCTTCAGTGTTAAAGAGTTCTCAACAAAAATTGAAAACATGAAAAGTACCTATTACTAACCGCACCCCCAATTCAACAAGACCGTGACTCACTTTGTTTCAACCAGCTGGTACATTGTTCCTAATCCTATTCATTTGTTTCAACAACATGCCTAAAAATATTCACACCTCTTTATTGTTCAGTAGTGTTAGGATGTCAAACACGCAGTAAAACTGCTTTTGTTCTTGCGACAACTTTTGTCAATACTCCTAATGAATACGTCCGTGTGTCGCAAGTTTTCGACAATGAGCTGTTCTCATCAAAAAACTGTTAAATTTGTTTTCGATGCTCAGTTTATCTTTCGAAAACAACTAATTTCTTGATTTAAAAAAAAATTCATGTCGTTTTCCGATGGAAATCAAAGCCAAAAGATCGCACTACATTATCGGTAAATCGCTTCCGGGTTTAGTTCACCATGAAGTCGGTGACCTCGGTGACCTTAAATTTAACATATTTAAATTACTAAGGTAATTTGAACACCATCAAGCATTTTGATTGGTTAATTAGCGACTTGACCTACCCGGTCAAGTAATGTCTCGTGTGCATTCAAACTACATGGCAGATGTCGCATCGATCGTATACATGTGACCAAAATAATTCGCTTACGGTGAAACTAAGTTGAATTTTACTTGCATTTGATAACAATTCGACGAATTTATTTTTCGTGCATTGTTATAATCACTACTGAGTAATAATCAACTATTTCAACAGTTCAAAAACAAGTAAGTTATTCACTTGTGAGCCGAAGCATGGCCGGATTGTGTTACCGTACCCACGGTACCATACTTTTTTAGTGCCGTACCATGATCATTTTCTACTAAACAATGCATTAATGTTTGTTTTTATTTGAAACTCCTGTCAGAATATACTTTCCGTTACAAAGAAAATAAAAAAAAATGCATATTACATTATATATATATATATACACACACAGTATTTTTTTTCATGTGAACAGTTTTTTTTTTTATGTGACGCTTATCACTCTTCCCCGACATCTAAATTGGAGTTAGCTTATATTCAAAAGATTGTACGGTGTATTTTTTGCTTTGTGCAAGTGACCACGCCCATTTAGTGATTGCAATGTGTTGAGCTGTTGATCCCAATTTTTTATTTGATACATTGTAATATAAACCGCAGTTTATAATAGGATTTTAACAGTACTAAAAGGTAAACAAACAAAGCACTGACTTACCAGTAGAATCCATTAGATTCATCGATGACATCATAGATAGATTTAGCTTTGATAGCACTTCTTTCATCCATAACATCAGAACCACCTTGTTCTTTGAGCCACTCAAACACCAATCCCATGATGTATATGCTGAAATATAACATTACATCGTTATCACCTTATTTCACTCGTACCAAGAGTAGCCCTCAATACCAGTGTACACTGAGCAACACCCACCTGACGTTTTAATACCTCCAGCCTACCCTCTTGAAGACTAGGGGGTCAAAATATTTAGTTATTCAAGTAATTATAATCAAATTAGCAACTGTTG